AAATTATTATGGTTATGTTCAAATATATTCTGATGCATCGAAAAATATGGAAGACAAAGTAGGTGTGGCATTTAGTATCCCAGAATTTAATGTCAAAGTCAATAAAAGAATCACAGATAATTTGTCAATTTACACAAATGGTGAAATGATTGCAATTTTACTGGCATTGCAATGGGTGGAGGAACATAAGCCAATGTGGACACTCATATGTTCTGATTCAAGCTCATCTTTAATTACAATTAAAACATGTCATTCAGAGAGCAGAGCAGATATAATGATTGAGATTCTTCAAACAATATATAGGATCCAGATGATGGGAATTTCTGTAGCTTTCTGTTGGGTACCAGCGCATGTGGGAGTTAAAGCAAATGAGTTAGCAGACGAATATGCAAAGGAAGCGACAAAGAAAGTAGACATAGATATGCAGATAAAGTATGGTACGAGCGAAATGAAGTGTGTAATCAAGCAACATGTGAAGAATAGATGGCAGAAATATTGGGAAGAAGAAAGAACAGGGAGATGGTTGTATAGCGTTCAAAGAGTTGTTGGTAAGTACAGAGTAACAGGAAGAAATAGTAGGTGGCGGTAATGCACCTAAAAGTTGTATGCCATCCGCCATTAAACACGCTAGTTCCGTAACAACAATGCAGCACTTCCGGTCGTGCAGAGCTCGGCATGGTTACGCATGTGACTATTCCTATAACTCGCTTATAATGCCTGATTTAATTATAGACTTTTTTTTGAATAAACATTATTTGGTGAGTTGTGATCTATTAACTCTCGCGATGTAGTCCGTTTAATAACTACGCGCAGCCTATAAGTAGCTATTATTTTATCTTCACACAGCCTTAATGTTTTAATTGTGTGTGTTTTCTCGAGTGTGTGGATGCAGCGGATGTCGTTTACACAATGAACTGTGAAGCGGATTTAGTTGACGTTAATTAGGTGTTTACTGCGTTTAACGTCGTTTTGTTTGGTGTTCGCAGAGTAAAATTATTTGTGATAAATAATGGAAATTGAGGGCAGAGATTTTCTCAATACACCTCCGAAGAAAACGGTGCGTTTTGGAGGCACGGTTGCCAATACATTAGCGAAGCTACAAAAGGTGAGATTGTAAATAACGTTACAGTATAAAGCCGATGAAATGTCACTGTCTGTAAAACATGTCCTGACATGTCTGATGGGACCTCTACAGGGCGACACAAGTGATTATGAACTGATAAAACATCAGCTCTCAGATCCTGATATTAAGGCAAGTGTTGTTTTTAATCGGTATTTCAACGTTTCCACGCTTAAGATTGTGTTGTCAAGACCTGTACAAATCATGGAACATATAAATCCTTAGATGGTATGAATAATACTATACAGTGAATACATTTATGTGCCTTAAAATCTTTCATTGGCTGGACTTTATTGAATTGGTCAAACCGACTCACGAATCAGTCTAAATCAGAGGTGCCCAAACTCAGTTCTGGAGGGCTGGTGTCCTGCAGAGTTTAGCTCCAACTTGCCTCAACACACCTGCCTTTAGGTTTCTAGTATGCATAGTAAGAGCTTGATTAGCTGGTTCAGGTGTCTGATTGGGGTTGGATCTAAACTCTTCAGGACACCGGCCCTCCAGGACCGAGTTTTGACAGCCCTGGTCTACATGATTCATTAGCGAAATGGTCTGAATCAAAATTATGTTTGAAAGTCCTTATTCAGTGTGGGAATCCTGAAGTTTGTGATTCAAACAGAAATGTTCTTTCTCACTTATCTTGTATCTTCTTGTAGGACGCTCAGATTATCAGCTGGTTGCAGGAATTCAGGACCTGTGTCACTCAACTTGGCAGAGATCATGAGCAGTTAATATATGTTGTTTTGGTGAGGAAAATACTATCGTGTCAAATGATGAACAAAAGCAGTCAGGTCATTTTCACTGTGTTAATGCAAGAAGTGTTTCCCCATACAGAAGCTGCCATGGCTCGGTCGCAGTCAGGCTGTGGTGGAAGAATATCTGGCTTTTCTGAGTAACCTGGTGTCGGCCCAGACAGTTTATCTCCGAGCCTGTCTCAGAATGGTCATCACTAATTTTGCACCAAGTAAGATTTATTATGATAATGCTTCACTCCATTCACATTGTTCAGATGACTTAAAATAACGTTTTGTTTTCTTCTTCTTTCAGAGAGAATACGAATCCAAGAAGGAAATGTGGATATTTCAGATTCTGATGACGAAGATGAAAGTTGGTGTTCTTTTTTTATATCACCTGCTTGTTTTGTGATCTAATTTGTATTACTGACTATTGTTTTTGTTGATTAATTTATACAGTCATATACCGGGATTTATTATCTACCCTGGTGATGGACCTTAGTTTGGATAGACTTGTTGGATAAACAAACATATATATATATACTCTCATAAAACAGACTGTGATTTTTATCCCTCACAGCATTGTTGTTCATTTGGGTAAAATCCAGCATGGATACCCTGTGTTGCATACCCTGTCAAAAGTTTATAGACCAATATACCAGCCAGCCAGACTAACTAATATGTCGTTTAGACTAATCTAATTGGCCATTTTGTTTAGATATTGTTAAATAAGCATGTGTTTTATCTCAATGTTGTATACACTACTATTTAAAAGATGGGGTTAGATTTTTAAAAAAGAAATTATTCAGCAAGCACTCAATAAATTGATCCAATTTGACAGTAAAGACATTGATAATGTTACAAAGGTTTTCTTTTTCAAATAGATGCTGTTCTTTTGAAATTTCTATTCATCAAAAATCCTGAAAAAAATGTATCACGTTTTCCACAAAAATATTAAGGCGCACAATAGATGTTTTAAACATGTTTCCTGAGCATCAAATCAGCATATTAAAATGATTTCTGAAGGCTCATGTGACACTGAAGACTGGAGTAATGGCAGCCTTGCCACCACAGGAATAAATGTTTTATTATTTAATTAAAGGAAATGCATCCTGAGATTGATGTTAATTCAACATAAACATAATATTACAACTTATATATGTACAAAATTACGCAGTTATTGCGTGCTATAGTCAGAATGTGTGATCCTGTTGTGGATGCGCTCTTCCCATATCAACGCGTTGAAACTCAGCAACTAAACCCAAAGAATTCACATCGTTTTATTATAATAATGTTCTCATTAGAATGTTATATACACAACATTCCCAATCATAGATATTAATGTTGTGCACTGCTGTTTTAGCTGCGTGCGCTGAGCTAAAGACGATCACCGGTAAACTGATGCGCTCTTTTAACTTAACCAAATGCATTCTATATGAGATAAACATATACATCAGATATACATCAAATAAACACAATATTACAACGTACAATTGCACAAAAGGCTGCAAACGAACAGCGCGCATCTGAAGTGTCTCTGAAGGAAATAATGCATTATTTATCGGCTTTAAGATATCGGCCAAATTTTCTTATCAGGCCGATACCGATAACAGAAAAAATTAGCATTTATCGGCCGATACCGATATGGTGGCCGATATATCGTGCATCCCTAATGTTTTATAACAGAAAATAGTTATTCAAAATTATAATAATATTTCAGAATATTAAGGTTTTACCGTTTTGATTAAAGGGGTCATATGATGCGATTTCAATTTTTCCTTTCTCTTTGGAGTGTTACAAGCTCTTGGTGCATAAAGAAGATCTGTAAAGTTGCAAAGACTAAAGTCTCAAATCCAAAGAAATATTCTGTATAAAAGTTAAGAGTCAGCCACACCTACCTAAAACGTCTCGTTCTAACACGCCCCCACATATCTATGTCACGATGTGGGAAGATTTGCATAACGCCGCCCAAATGTTCACGCAAAGAAAGAAGGCATAACTTTTATTCTCGCTGTAGTATTGTTGTTGCCGCCGCTGCAATGTCGTGAAGGCGCTATGTTTCGTTGTGAAAGCAAAACTACTAAGGCGGGGCATAGAGGAGAAACAATAATGTACAGTATGTGGAAAATAATGTGTTTTTTTAACCTTAAACTGCATAAACACATTTCATTACAGCATTTTTTTACATTTTTTACATTAATACATTACAGTATTACAGCAAATACACAAAATAATGTTCTTTTTAGCAGCATCATATGACCCCTTTAAATAAATGTGGATTTGGTGAGCATAAGTTTTCTTTAAAAAAAAAAAAGTTCAAACTTCTGAATGTAAGCATTAATTTTGCTGTCATTATCCATTCCTGTCATCAATCAGTGAAAGTGTATCTGTATGCCATTATTATACCTTCTACTTTGCACCATAATTCATTGTTTTGTTTGGTTTTTTAATTCGCACAGATCTGCCGAGGACATTTGATCATTGTCATCAAGCCTTACAGCTTATTACAAGATATGTTCCATCGTAAGTGTCTTATAAAACCTCCAAAAGCGTAGCAGAGTGTAGCAGTTTACTGATTTAGTATAACAGTGACTAATAAACCCTTTCTTCGTTCTTTCAGAACCAGTCGATTCCTGATGCCAATCCTTTCTGACAAGTTCCCTTTTGTGCAGAAATCCTCCAGAACACTTGTGAGTTATGTAGAAAGCATTTAAATCCAGTATTGGGACTAAATGAATATCATTACATGCATGAATGTGATTGTTCTGAGGCCGTGTTGTCTGTCCACACAGGAGTGTTACGTGCACAACCTATTGAGAGTTTCGGTCTACATCCCTGACCTGAGGAGAGACATCATAGAGCTCATCATCAGCAAGATGCTCACGCTAGATGTGAGGGACTTGTGTTCAGTTACTGTACTGATGTCTTTGCAGCTGTTTGACGGCTGTTTTTGACATTTAGGTTAGTGCACCACGGAGTGAGATTGAAGAAGTGGAAAGTGGAGCTCAGCAAGATGCTAATGGAGCATCACAGGATGACTGCCTCTTTGACATGGTGAGTCCAAAACACTTCAGAAAACCAGACGCATGTATGCAAAACATACTCGGTGGGACATACAGTGGGTACGGAAAGTATTCAGACCCCCTTAAATTTTTCACTCTATGTGTGAAAAACTTGTTGCATCTTTCCCAATAAGACTCATGGCTGTATTAGATCAAAAGGGTGCTTCTACTAAATACTGAGCAAAGGGTCTGAATACTTAGGACCATGTGATATTTCAGTTTTTCTTTTTTAATAAATCTGCAAAAATGTCAACAATTCTGTGTTTTTCTGTCAATATGGGGTGCTGTGTGTACATTAATGAGGAAAAAAATAAACTTAAATGATTTTAGCAAATGGCTGCAATATAACAAAGAGGGAAAAATTTAAGGTGGTCTGAATACTTTCCGTACCCTCTATATTTAAAGGGATTGTTCAGTCATCATATATTCAGCCGCATGCCACTCCAAACATGTACAACTTTCCTACTATCGTGAAATCTCGATGAATGTACTTTAGTCACTCTTTTACATGCAGTGAATAAGGACTGGAAATTTCAAGTTTAAAAAAAAGATGCAAAAGCAACCAAAAAGTAAATGAGGAACCAAATTAAGCCCTAACTTAGGAGTAACTTATTTATATCGTAGTCTTTCCATAATGTTTGAATAGTCATAGATCTTACTCATTTTAATGTAATATTCAGGATGAGGAAGAGGACTCTCCACTGGATTCATCGAGACCTGATGGAGCTGTGATGGTTCATCCTGTAGCAGAGAGACTGGACACGATGATGACTGTCCTGCTGGCTTATATCAAGGACATTTGCCATGTCAATGGTCAGGATGTTACCGTTTTATGAACCATAGAAGTTGTTTTTAGGACTGTCGGTCAATTCAAATGTTTAATCAAAATTCGGTTTTAGGACATTGTCAGTTTTTAGGAACGAAAAAATACACTGCCATTTTAAAGTTTGGGGTCAGTAAGATTTTTTTTTAAAGAAATGAATGCTTTTATTCGGCATGGATGCATGAAATGCCTTCTGTCTCAAATGAATGCTGTTCTTTTTGAACTTTTCTATTCATCAAAGAATCCTGAAAAAATGTATCACAGTTTGCATAAAAACATTAAGCAGCATGTTTTTAAACATTGGTAGTAATGAGGAATGTTTCTTGATCAGCATATTAGAATTAGGGGTGCTCCGATTGATCGGCTACCGATCACCATCGGCCGATAATCACGCTGGAATGTTTGATCAGCTACCGATCACCATCGGCCGATAATCACGCTGGAATGTTTGATCAGCTACCGATCACCATCGGCCGATAATCACGCTGGAATGTTTGATCAGCTACCGATCACCATCGACCGATAATCACGCTGGAATGTTTGATCGGCTACCGATCACTATCGGCCGATAATCACGCTGGAATGTTTGATCGGCTACCGATCACCATCGGCCGATAATCACGCTGGAATCACGCTGGAATGTTTGATCGGGATTAGGTTTAAAGGGAAAGAGAACTTTTAGATAAAGAAGGCAATAATAGATGGCACTCGTGCGTATAGGAAAACAAAGTCACCGCACGATTGCTTGTAATAAAGATTTCAATGCAAAAGAAAAGGCAGTAGAGCTGTCTATTACTGTCAATGGTAAGTTTGTGATAACGTAAGAAAAGTAGTTTAAATGTTTTGCCACTTGCTTGAGCAACTTAATATATAAATCTAGAAGTAAATGCAAAAGTAAAAAGCATTGAATAATGTGTTGCTTATATTTATTGTGTTTAAACATGTCTGTGAAAGATTGTATTACTGTACTGTGAAAAAGCATTTTCAGTGACGATGTTTGGATTTGAAATCAAAATAATGGATAAATGTTTTGTTTGTGGTAAACATCAGTAGCGGACTCTTGTGTGAAAGCACAGTCCGTGCTGCTTCCCCTCTCACAAGAGTCAACTAAGAGGGGAATTCCCCCATTTTTAAAAATGAAATTCAGGCCCGGAATAAATGTCTAAAAATCCTGATTGGAGTATCACTATAAATAG